ACTTTCCCTCTGTCTCTAAGATACCTATTTTTTTGTTTGTTTGTTTTTGTTTTGGTGCTGGGGATGAACTCAGGACCTTGCACTTGTGAGGCAGGCAGCGGCACCACTGAGCTAAATCCCTGGCCCTCTAAGATACTTGTTTTGAGTCCAGACTTTCCTTTCCTTTAGGGAGATTTTTCCAGGGGCAAGCATGTTGTTCTCCCTGTCAGCAAACCTATGTCAGTATCGCGCTCCACCTTCTTCAATATCAGAAAGGAGAACCTGAGCTACATACCTTGCCTCCAGGAGGCCTTGGGTTTCTATGCAAATCTCTTTACTTTTCCCTCTAAGCCCAAAATATATGTAAGAGTCCTTTTCAAAAGCCACAAAGGGCTCCATTTTACCCCTCTCTTAGAGAAAGGATGCCTACCTAATGAAAACTGCCATAAATAATGGATATCATTAAAGTTATCATGGGGGAGGTTGGTTTCAAGGTGGAATATTAAGTACACCTAGGCAGAGAAGAAAGGCAGCTTCTTGTCATTCTCTTACATATGGATGTACTATAATTTAATTGATTGTTCCACTTTAGGGTATTTGTTTCCTCCTTTTTTATTATTATAAGTAATTCTCCAATGACTCTTGGCATGGGTACAAGACATTTCTGTAGAATAGATTCTTGAAAGCAGAGTTGATGGGTCAAAAGGCATATACATTTAAATTTAAAACATTCCCAAGTTGCCTTACAAAAATGTTTTACCGCTTTTCATTCCTACAAGAATGTCCGTTTTCCCACTCCATCACCATCACTAAATATTAACAACCGTTTTTCACCTTTGATATTAATAGTTTTTCAATTTCCATATCTCTGATTACTAGTGAGGTTGAACATGTTTTTATGTTTATTGGCCATTTTTCTTTCTCTGTGAACTGACTATTCATAACCTTTGTTTATTTTTCTATCGGATAGTTTGTCATTTCCTTATCTTGTTTTATGTTTATTTCTAGGTGTTTTGAAGTTGTGGTTGTAAATTGATTACTACAGACAAATAGAAAAGCGATTGATTTTAGTAAGTTGTTCTTATTTCTGGCATCCTTCCTGAACATTTGTCTTGATTTTAATTGTTTTATAGTTGAACATCTTTCTTTCCTAGGGAAACTATCATATCATTTGCAAATAGTTTATTGTGATTACTGGTTTATTCGGACTTATGCCTAATTTTTAAAAATGTATATGTTTTCTATAGACCATCTTTCTAGGGTATTTTTTTCACTTCCTGCCTTTTGAAGCTTAACAGCATTTCTGTGTTCTTTGTTTTTTTGTTTTATTTTGTTTCGTATTGTGCAAGGGATAGAACCCAGGGCCTTGTACATGTTAGGCAAGTGCTTTGCCACTGAACTACACCCCCAGCTCCATCTTTGTTCCTTTTGTGGTCTGGAAGTTCTATATTGCATCTTTTGTTAAATATTGAAAAAACTTTTGCTGTCATTGTGAAAAATCAAATCAATTCATAACCTCTCCCCAAGGAAGGTAAGGTTATTAATACACTTGGTTGTTTTTTGGTTTTTGCTCTTTTTTTGGTACCAGGCAGGGATTGAACTCGGGACCTTGCACTTTCAAGGCAGGCACTGGAACCACTGAGCTAAATCCCCAGCCCTATTAATACACTTGGACCCTACTCCACATGCCTCATTTCCCTTGTTTAATTGAAATCACTTAAGATCTTAGTACTAGATTTAAAAAAGATTTTTTTCACATTGCATCTCTATTACTTATGAATCCTTTATTTTCTGCTCTTTTGCTATATAGGATGTTGTTTTGTTTGGTCACCTCCCATGATTGAAAAAGTAGTCATACTATGATTTTACTAATGATTGACTTTTATATTTACCAAACTATCTAAGCCTTTATTTCTCTGATGATGAAAGTTAAGAACAATCAATGTCTCCTGATTTTCTTACTCTACAGGTAATGAAGATTTTAGGGTACCTTTACCTGGCTTGCCCTCTTCTCACTGATTTCCAGTCTTTTAAACTTTACTGTGGATTTATAAATCCAACTTGCATTTCAATCATATACCTCTTTTTTGAAGGATAGATTTTTTTGTTCAGTTTTTATGACATATTTAGTTGGTTTTAATGCTTGTAACCAATCTTTTATATTATAATATTCCCATTTCCAAGTTCTTAATTTTAATTCATCTCTTGAGCAGCTGAAGTATATCTTCAAGTCATTTATTTAGGGAGAACACGAGTGATGCATTTTCTCCACCGTTCTTTATAAACATGGAATATATCTCTGTTGTTTTCCCACATGAATGACAACTTGCTGGGTACAGAATTCATATGTTGCCATCTTTTTCACTCAAAACTACAACCATTGTTCCCTATCTCTTTTGCATTTAGAAAAGTCAAGGCAAAACCTAAGACCAGGCTAAAATTTCCCCTCCGTAACCCAGTTTTATGTGTGGACCTATGTAATATTTTCCCTTCATCTTAGAAAAAAATGTCTTTCCATTGCCAGGATATGTCTTTTTTTTTTTTTTGTACTGGGGACCAAACTTGGGTCCTTGTGCTTGCGAGGCAGGTGGTGGAACCACTGAGTTAAATCCCCGGCCCCAGGATATGTCTTGGTATGATAATTCTTTATTAATTTTCTCTGTAACTCATTGATCTATATAACCAATCATTTTTTCACTCAAGAAATAATCCCCCCCACCCCAGTACCGTGAATCCAACTCAGGACTTGCACTTGCCAGGCAGGCACCACACCACTGAGTTAAATCCCCAGCCCAAGAAATAATCTTCTACTGAGTATGTGAGCATGATGTTCATTTGATTGTAATGATTATAAGCATCTTCTGGCTAATTCCCTTCTCTCCATCATCTTTCATCTAGGTGAACACAGCAGCCTTCAAATGAGTCTCTGTGCTTTCATTCAGCTCCTTTCTTTCTTTCCATTCTCTAACTATTCATGACTCTCGAGGGGGAGGACCCAGGTGACTTTCTCATTGCTGTAGGTCCTGTCTTCCTGTTGCTCTCCAGATAGGATCTAAACTCTTTAGTGTGTCCACTGCAGCCTTGAGTGAGTATTCTCTACCCTGCTGGCTTCATCCTTGCTCCCTACCATGCAGCGTTGTGGGCCTCCTCTTATTCCTTAATCTAGGACCCTTCCTTTTGCCTTCTCCTTGCTTTCTGCTCCCTCCTGCCTTCACAGTTTGGCCAACTCCTCTGTGTTCTTCAGATCTAAGTTTAATTATTAATTCCTCAGGGAAACCTACCCTGATATCTCTTACCCTGCACTATTATGTCCTATTATAACCCCCTAAACTTTGTCCTTTGTTCATTCATTACCATAGGGGTTTACTGAGTGGCTGCTGTATGCTAGGCATTTATTCTAGACATCAGGAATACATTACTGTACAAAAGAGACAAAGGTTCCTGCCCTCATGAAACTTAATTTTACAGATATTCTCTCTTAGTGCTTCTTAGAACTTCTATAAATCAGTTGACTGAGGAATTGTTTTTAGTCTGTCTTTCCCACAAAATAGCTCCGTAAGAAATGGGATCAACCTCCCAAGGGGAAGGTCCCAAGTTCCATCCTCAGTACAAAAAAAAAAAAAAAGAAAAAAGAAATGGAATCAAATCTACTTGTCTACTCTTGTAGCTCTGGATGTAAGGCAAGGCCTAATAGATAACAAACACTCAGTAAATGTTTAATGGATTAATTAAGGCATTTTATAAAGGTCAGGACTCTTTCAAGTTGCAATCCATCTCAAGCTATGAAAGAAAGAGAGAGAGAAAGAAAGAAAAAGAAAGAGAGGGAGAGAGAGAGAAAGAGGATAGGCGTGGTAGCACATGCCTATAATCCCAGCACTCATGAGGCTGAGGCAGGACTCAGCATAAACTCTCGCTATGAGTTTGAAGACAGCTGGGCTACATAGTGAGTTCAAGACTGACCTGAACTACATAGCAAGACCCTGTCTCAAAAAAAAAAGGAAGAAAATGAAAAAAGTGAGGTAGATTCATCAGCTCACTAACTGAAACCCATGGGCAGCTGTAGCTCCATGCACAGCTGGATCCAGAGTCTTATGTGATGCCAACAGGGCTCCCTCTGCTCCCCTCTGAGTGTTGATCTTATTCTTTCCAGCTCTAGATGGATTCCCTCCATGTTGCCAGGGGAGATAGGTACTGACAGTTCCAAATGCACATATTCTCAGCCTAGCAACACCAGGAAAAAAGCACTTGTTTCTCTCAGCGTCTGCATGTATGCAAGGCCCAGATGACTGGGGGCTGAGCCAGCTTAGGTCCCTCAGCTCTGTCACTGTGTCTGAGAGATGGGATATTCTGATTGACCAAGGCCCGGCTGGTCCACCTCTGCTTGGGCGCTGGGGGAGTCAGTGGAGGAGGACACCACAGTTGACCTTCACACCAGGCTGTCTCAGAGTTCAGGAGGAATTCCCCAAAGATATAGCAGTATTGCCAACAGGAAGAAAATGATGTATCACTAGGACAAGCGTTTTGTGATGAGGGTTTGTTTGTTTGTTTGCATTCTGTACTTTCTGCAACCAGTGGTCTTTGCATCTCTCACTCCCTCCCAGCTTGTGGCTTCTGTCTTGTCCTAAGTAGCTGCTTCCTGGAAGTGCTGTCCTTGTGCTGTGGGTGAGCAAGGGAGGAGTCCAGGGCCCCTTGTACCTTTCTACACAAACCTGTTTTTAAGACAGTAGTCTCAGATGGAGGGCCGGGGATTTAGCTCAGTGGTTTCACCGCCTGCTGCGCAAGCGCAAGGACCTGAGTTCCAATCCCCAGTACAAAAAAAAAAAAGAAACTCAAATGGCTTTTTTTTGGTACTGAGGATTGAACTTGGGACCTTGCACTTGTGAGGCAGGCTCAGGAACACCTGAGCTAAATCCCTGGCCCCAGATGGCTTTTTCATACTTTGGGAAACTCCGTCTCGTGATAATAATCCACTGGAGAAATGCAACATAGATTCAATTGAATCATTTTTGTCCCTGCCTTTTTGAAGAGCAGGTTAGTAGAATCCCCATCTGATTTCAGGAGTTGAGGGTCAAGCACTTTGTGTAGAAGGGCTGGGCATGGTGGCGAACGCCTGTAATCCCAGCACTTTTGAGGCTGAGGCAGGAGGACTGAGATGAGTTCAAGGCCAGCCTTTGCAACATAGTGAGTTCAAGACCAGCCCAATCTCCATAGAGAGCCTGACCTTAAAAAAAAAAATTATGTGGAAGGGAGCTGCCCACGTGCCCATTTCCCCAGCTGTCTTCAAGGCCCACGTCCAGACTGCAGCAGGGCCCTCCACATCAGCTGCATCAATTTAAAGGCTGCAACTCCCAGGGTTACAATTGTTTTGAGGGCATTGCACCATGTTTTGTGTAACAGTGTCGGGCGGTAGCTTCAGATAATTATAAACAGGTATATTCAGCTGCATGAAAGCCCAATGGGATATTCCCAAGCCAGGCAGGATGTAGAATTCTTCACTGTCCTGAGGACATCCAGCATCCGTGGCACCTGACCACACAATGCCAGTGGAAACCCTCATTCATTTGGATAACCAAAAATTCCCCCCACAAATTTTTTAACCAACTGCTGGAGGATTGTCCACACACTGCTTCTCAGATTTTGAAAACTTTAAACCTAGATTTATCTGTCCTCACACTCCCAAAATCTGCTAATATTGTGAGTCTTTTCTCTACTCTCATGGATAACGCCTCCAGAAAAGCAGCAGCTACAGCATAGACCAAGGAAAGACTGACCTTGGTTTTGCTTAGGATGTTTCCAATAGTTGCTCACCATTTTTGGAAAACCACTGAAAGCAAAGCCTCTTGAGGTCATGCCAATACATCCCAGTGCCTCAGTTGGCCTGGTAGCCGTGGTGGTCAGTGACTGCATTCATATACAAGCATGTGACACTTTCAAACGTTGTCTTGATTACTTTTCTCATTGCTGAGACAAAATCCCCAATACCCAAAGTTAAAGGAGGAAAGGTTTATTGTAGCTCACACTTTGTAGACATTTCAGTTCACAATCAGCTGGCTCCAAGGCAGGGTGGCATGGCAGAGGGACATCGCGGAGGAGAAACAGTTCATGTTGGGCAGAACGAAGCAAAGCAGCAAAGTAGTGAAGAAGCAGCAATCAAATGATAGCAACCCTCTTTCTGTCCCTTATATTCTACCCAAGCTACACACCCTTAGGGTGGCTAGAACTCACACCCAGGATGGGCCTTCCCATTATCCATGCCCAGAACTATGCCAAACCAATCAGTGGACTAAGTGAATAATCACACACCCTTAATCTCAGCAAGAGGATCACACTGAATCCAAGCATCACACACTCTAGATCTAGCCACTTCTGAGAAGCCCCCACCTACGACCACATGAGGCTCTGGGGGGAGAGTGGACATCTAGACACAAGTCATAACAAATGTCTTCAGAGCTAGAGTATTTGCATGCAGATACACAGAGCTGTTGTATAGCATTTTCTCTTTATTTCCTTGTATTATTATTATTGGGTTCTTTTTGGACATTTTGACATTTAACATGGCAGATGTTTAAAACTATATGTAGTAGGTAATATTATTTATGCATTTATTTCAGGTTAGTAAGGGGATGTTATAAAACATTTGTTATAAATACATGTTGTGTAGGATAGAGTTGAGAATAAGTTTAAGAGTTTGGCAGATGTCAGCCTCAGTAGGAACATTTTTCTGTTCAGAATTATTTTACTTTCCTTAATAACAAACCTAGAGTAAAGGCCAAAGACATGCATTTCATCAGGGTCATCCGCCTTTGTTATCAAGGTCCCAATAGCAGCTGTGATTCAGGCTCCTCCATCTGCTCCCTCCACAAGCATCGCACCTAGATCTTTCTGCCCTCCAGGTGGGCAGCCCTAGAGAGAGAAAGTCCTGGAAGTAACAGATGCACAGTCCTGGAGAGGACCCTCCTCCCCTCGATAGTGGTCTTTTCTTTTGCTCTGGGCCATTGATTGCTTCTCCCAGGATCTCTCTGTATCCTTCCATTTTTTCCTGAAGCCCTTGTAGCTCTGAAGAGCTCATATAATTCCTGGGCCTAGATCAAATTCAAGACAATTCCCTTTCCCCCAGGCCCATGTCCCTTGAAATATCCCCCGGCAGGTCTGGCTCCAATCATGCAGTCACTGGGACCTAGCTGGCTAGGAGTGGTCTCCAAAGTAATAAGCCTTCAGTCTCCATGGCTACTGGCCAACAGCTGGGCACCTTCTCTGAGCCTGGAGCCATTCTTCCACCTAACCACCCTGCAACCTTGCTCAGGCTGCATGGATTCATGTTTGCTGTGGAAAACAGAGGAGCAGAAACAGGAGGTCTTCATTTGGATTCTGAGCACAGGGATCTCCCTCATGTTCCCACTTCTCTGGATCTCGCTGGCTTATCCTGTCACCAGTTCTGTGAACAGGCCTGCACTTCGCTGGGCTTGCCTCCCCTCTGACTGCCTTGAGGCCAGTTCCCAGCTTTGTCACTGCATCCCAAAGAAATAGAATTCCAGCTCCAAAAGCGGTGACGGATCATGTGGATTTTACTGGAGGTTTTGTGAAATAACAGAAGTGTCATAAAGCTCCCCCTAAGCTCCTTTCCCCAAGTTCTGCCCACAGCAGCTACACCTCCCTTCTCTGGCTCTCCAGCCTTTCTTCCTTGCCCTGTTTCCATAGTGGCTGCAGTCCACGTGTAAAACTCCTTCAACCAGCTGGGTCTCCTGGCACATGTCTATAACCCCAGCACTCTGGAAGGCCACGGCAGGAGGACTGCAAGTTGGTGCCCATCCTGAGCAACTTGGTGACTTAGTGAAACCCTGTCACAAAATTAAAAATTAAAAATGGATTGGAGATGTAGTCCAAAGACATAGGGTTCCATCCCTAGGACTTGGAGGGAAAAAGAAGAACCAACCTGAACCAGAGAGAGGCTACCAGCAGGCCTTGGTTCATCTCCCCAGCCTCTCCTATCTCTCCTAAACACCTGTGGTACTTAGCAAAGGGAAGGGGGAGGGCTCTTTGCTTGTGTCCTGCCTAGAGTTTGCTCTGGTTTAAGGCTGGCCCCACTGCACCCTTCTGCCATCCTACCCCATCCTCCCTTCATCTCTACAACTTTGCTTGAGGATGTCCTTGTCAGCCCCACCCTGACCTGTAGGAGACCGTCAGTGACTATCAAGGCCTTTGATGATGTTCCGGAGCAGGCGTGACTGCTATGCAGGCAAGCTCATGAGTCCTGGGATTCCCCAGGGACAGACCCAGCAGCTCTACCTTCTTCATGAGGCAGCTTCTGCACCAGCCTCAGCCCCTCCACCCACACCAGAGTCTGTACAAGATGCTCTTCATGTCCATAATCTGTATATGTTTGGGGGACAGGAGACAGTAGAATGTGTCATGCCATAAAGCTCAGCCTCTGGGCTATTCTGGGTTGTCCCAAGGCTATCTGACCTTTGCTGGTACCTATGGGGTGTCAGGAGATCCAGCAATCCCAATGGGACAAACTTGTCACCTCAGAGACAAACTTGGGAGTGATATCTAGCCAGGTCCAAGGGCTGACTGAGAAGCCCATCAGATTAGGGCCTGGTCTGTTGAGAATTTGACTTGTATCACATCCAGCTCCCTCTATCTGTCACCCTCTGACTGCAGCTCTGATTCAGATTGTCTCCCTTTCTTCCTCCCTTCACTAAGAGCTGGAATGCAGTTGCCCCTCCAGACTCTGGGAGGTTTAGCACTATGGAATGTCTAAACTGTTTCCACACTGACTGGCTTCAGCCATCCCAGATGCTGAAAGTTGTCACACACAAACACACACACACACACACACACACACACACACACACGAGAGTACCTCCCTAAGTGCACTAATCTGGAGTTATTGTACACTGGAACAGGGTACCTCCCTGTTCCCTGTGGTCAAGGTTCAGAGCTCTTAGCTCACAGAGACATGGCTCGGGCAACTTGTAGTCTGACTTGGCTGCTGCTCCAGAAGTAAATCCTGCAAGGAGGATTCGAAAGGAGGAAACTGAACAAGAGTTCCCAAGAAGAACCAGGAAGGGAGTGGGGATGGGAAGCAAGGAGAGTAAGGATGGGCCACTGAGCAATGCTACACAGAAGGTGACTTTAGCCAATGCCACAGGGGACTTTGCAGGTCACCTAGGCCATGTGTCAACACTGCCTGTCCAGGGAGCAGGGGAGCTGCAGGATTAATGCCCCTGCACCTAAACTACTGCCCTTGCCCCATGTGTTTTCCCAATACTTACATTCTGTATATTTCCTTACAGTGGGTTCCAGGAGCCTGAGTTCAGTGTCTGGCAAAGATGGAATGGAGGCTGCTGAGGTGAAAGCTGGTATGAATTGCTGGTGTGTAAAAATGATCCAGGGGTGTGTGAGCAAAGCACACAATGCAGAGCACTCACCTTGTGAGCAGAGCACATACACTACAGTCTCTCTTCTACCATTTCTTAGTGCAGATTTGCTCTCTGAGGTCTGCCACCCTGACACGTTTCTCTGGCGTGTTCTAGTCACCACTCTAAGTTATCTCCCTCCTGATAGCAGAGTCCTTTGGTTGCCTCATAAACTGTCCCCTGGTGGTAAAGCTGGAACCCAAATCAGTCCAGGTATATTTGCTCCCAATTCCTTTCCTCACTGGGAAGGATTCAGTCCCTTAAGAAATTGTCAGACCAGGTGTGGCAGCACGTGCCTGTAATCCCAGCCCTCAGGAGGCTGAGGCAGGAGGATCACCATGAGTTTTGAGTTTGAGGCCAACCTGAGCCACATAGTGAGTTCAAGTCCAGCCTGAACTGCATAGTGAGACTCTGTCTCAAAAATCCAAAAAAAGGGGGCCAGGGATTTAGCTCAGTGGTTTCGCTGCCTGCTGTGCAAGCACAAGGTCCCAAGTTTAATCCCCAGTACCAAAAAAAGGATTGGGGATTTAGCTCAGTGGTTCTGGTGCCTGCCTCGCAAGCATAAGGTCCCGAGTTCGATCCCCGGTACCAAAAAAAGAAAGAAAAAAAAGCCACAAAAAAACAAAAAAAAGAAAAAGAAAGAAATAGCCTGTGGAGGCCAGAGTTTCCTCACAAAGGAGGATAGAAATCTCTTTACACAAAGGTTCTCAAAGGCCTTGGGCATACCACATGCTCCATAGAGCAGATGCATCAAGGCAGATGCAGATGGGGGCTGAAATTTCCCCCTCTGCTACACCACCCAAACTCTACCTTTTCCCCATCCTTTGGTCATAGTCTTTTCTGCTTATCTTTTGCCATCTCCAGATTACACATGGTGGAGATGCTGCCCACATCTTCACAGATGTGTGGATGTCTCACCCCGGCCTGGGATCAAGATGTCCCTAGTCTCCCATTCCAAAGGGTCACCAGTCATCTTCCCCTCCCCATCCACCTCCTTACCATCCATTGCCCACCAACCCCTCACCAAGAGAGAAAACTGGTTTCTCTTTGGCCTCACTGGGGTATTTTCTGCTCCACTTTTCAGTTATAGTCAGTGTCTCCAGTGGATTCCCTCCCCAAAGGGTCTGCCTTGGATGGCAGCTTTTTTGGCCACCCAACAGCTCTGGCTTCTGGCTACACGTTAGAAGTGTCGGGGGCCAGGGATTTAGTTCAGTGGCACTGCGCCTGCCTCACAAGCACAAGGTCCCTAGTTAAATCCCTGGTACCAAAAAAAAAAAAAAAAGCATCAGGGATCTTGACTGGCCCCATATCAGATATGGGGTTTCCTTATTGCTCAGCCATCTCCTGCCCAACTGTGGCCACCAAGTCATTTTGAAACCCAGTTTCCAGTCTGCAACCTAGGTAAACTGTAAGGAACCTCTCAGCTGTGTTGACAAGAACACCAACTCCAATTAAATAAAAAGGGGAATTTACTGGTTCACTAAACAAAAAGTCATAAGGTCAGTTAGCTCCAGACTTACCTAGATCCAGAGGCTCAACCAAAGGGCTGGTGAGCCAAATAAACTACAAAACAGAGAGTGGCTGAGGTGTGATTCTCCAAGTGAAAACTGGAACATGGTCACGGAGAGAAGGACAAATGGTTCTGAGCAGGCCAAAACATCAGATGTCTGATCGAGATGCTCTGGTCCTATTTTCTGTGCAGTATTACCAACCATAAGCCACCACAGTGACAAACCATAAGCCACTTGGAGTTTAGCCTTCAGCTTAGTGCTAAGCTGAGTGAAAATTTCACTGAGTGAAACTGTCCCTGTGTGTCCCCTCATTGTCAAGGCTAGAAAAAGATCAATAAGTGGGCATAGCTCCAGCCCAACGAGAGAGAGAAAATCAGCAGCAGCCTTGTCCCTAGGGCTTTGTACAAATCAGAGCACCTTTGGGCCACCCCACTGCCTTTTCTGACCTAGATACAGCACCCTGAGCATATTTTATAGAGTTCTGTAATCCACTGGGGAACGATTCCAGCATTAATGGAATTCTGCTGGTAAAACAGTCCTCAAAAATCTCACATTTCATCCAGCTGTGGCGGCACACACCTGTAATCCCAGGACTTGGGAGGCTGAGGCAGGAAGATTGATATGAGTTTTAGGCCAGTCTGGGTTAGAAAGTGAGTTCAAGGCCAATCTGTCTCAAAAAAAAAAAAAAAAAAGACATTATATTAAAAAAAAAACAACTCACATTTCTTGGTGAGGTCTAAAAACAGGAAGTTCACAACCTGAAAAGAACTTCTCCCACTGCACCTTCACCACAAGGGATGCTTCTTGACACCTGGGCACAGGAGAAAGCATTCCATCCCATTCTGATTCTCCAGATTGGGAAGACAATCACCAAGGCACTCTGTTTTCTAAGAGCACCCCACTCGGCGATCTCTCCTGATAGACTGGTTGGTGAGCAATACTTTCCATATAATGCACTGGGCGCAGGTGTCAAGCTTTATTTGGACATCCTCTGCCATCATGGGCCACAGAAACCATGCCCTAATTAGCCCCAGCATCTGTTCCCTCCCCAAGGCCTGGAATCACCATGCATGGACAAGTGCGCCGTAGGGCAGCCTTTTGAAACAATACCAACTGCTTCCATAGTCCATTCAGGAGGCACAAAGAATCCTGTGCAATGTCTAATAATTAGGGAAGTCTCTGTCACTCCTAGAGTAGGGCGTTCAGGCTGGAAGGGGAGCTTGTACCCTTCTTGCTAGAAGGACATATTTCTTCACCATCACCCACATCTCGACATCTTCCTGGTAAAGCTTTCTGCCAATTTTTCACCCTGTCTACGGAAGGGGGTAGATTTGGGTACATAATTCAAGGCTGTAAGTACAACTTCTGAGGATTCCCACAGGCTGTCATCCAAGTCCCTTTTTCAGGCCCCTTTCCTATTCCTAATGGCCACACTCCCTCATTAAAGATGATCTCAATGACCTGAGAATGTGACCTTTGTAACATAGCAGCTGCCCTGCAGAGTACATGACACAATGCTGGAATTACAGTCATTGGTGTGTACATCCTGCCTGTCTCCTAATACCCAACTCAGCGCTGTAAGTGAGGGGTGGAACAGGGCACACCTGGAAGGATGCACCACACTTGTATTCCTTAGATGTATTCTCTCTTATTGCATTGCTGGGTGTAGAACTCAGGGGCCCATACATCCTAGGAAAGTGCTCTACCACTGAGCTACACCCCAGCCCTTCTATTTTACTTTGAGACAGGGTCTTGCTAAATTGCCCAGGCTGGCCTTGAGCCTCTTCAGTAGCTGGGATTATAGGTATCCACCACTGAACCTAGTGCATTAGACATATTCTTGATAATCCACATCAGCCTTGAAACTCTGGTCTATTAAAGCGGCATTGGGCCTCACTTCCAGATGAGCAAAATGTCACAATTTTATTATCCCAAATAACCTAATATTATGTCACCTTCTATCAGTTTGTTTGCCTGCATCTCTTCCTCTGGGAAACCATCCCTTATTCATTCCGTGTGGTTTAGGTGATTCCCCACTCAGTCCTCCCCGCTCCAGGGCCCAAAGGTGAATATGTGATGCAGGTCTGCAAATCAGCCTATTCTATTTCTCTAATCATAGTGATGAGTTCAGGGACAAGTACATGACCAAGCTGGGACAATTAGAATCTTCCCTGGAAGTTTTCTGTTAAAACCATCAAGAAAATGCTCCCTCAGCCAGGTGTGGTAGTGTACACTATAATCCCAGAACTCTGGGAGGCTGAGGCAGGAGATCATAAGTTTGAACCCAGCCTGGGTAACTTAGCAAGTTAGCAAGATTCTGTCTTAAAATAAAAAAGGGCTGGGGTGCCAGAGATTTAGCTCAGTGGCACCTCGCCTGCCTCACAAGCACAAGGTCCTGAGTACCAAAAAAACCAAAAAAACCCAAAAACAATAGGGCTGGAGATGTAGCTCAGTGAGAAGGACCTGGATTTAATCCCCAGTAACACTAAATAAATAAGAAAAGAAAATGCCCTTCCTCTCTGAGAGTGCACGCTGGAGCTGCCTATGGCCATTTCACTGTTGACAGGGAGAAATAATTCTGCAATAGAAGAAAACGAGGCCAACACACAATATTATCCAGTGACTAAGCAGAGAGGAGAGGAGATAGATAGGGAGATGGAGAAGAACCAGATGACCATCATTGGAGCCCTTGGCCTAGCCATTTCTGAACAGCTACACTTTTAGGAAATTAAATATTATAAGCTCCCAGTCTATTATTTCATCTTTGGTTAAAACTGTAGTTGAAAGCGGACATGGTGGTACAAGCCTGTGATCCCAGCCCTTGGGAGACTGAGCCATGAAGATCACTGCAAGCTCAAGGCCAGCCTGGGCTACATAGTGAGTTCAAGGCCAGCCTGGGCTACACAGTGAGAACCTGTCTCAAAACCACAAAACAAAACAAAACAAAAACCTGTTGGTTCCAATAGCAATAGATAAGAAGTCCTGAGAGAATGAGAAGTTACTGACACAAGGGCTTTTGAGAGAATGAAAGCATTGGATTGGACACAATTGTTTTTGTGTAGCAAAGATTAGGAGTAAACTGAAAGGTACAAAGGGGTAGGAGAGAGAAAGAGACAGAGAGAGACAGAGAGAGAGAGATTTGGCTGTATGGCGTTAAGATCTTATTTCAAATTACATTTACTCTTATGTTATATCTTGTCATCGTGATATTGAGTAGTTTGTATGCAAGAATCTCTCCTATAATATCCAATGCTAACTACAATGTTTTATTGTTTTATAGCTCTTAACCTTAAGACTATAATGCTTGTTTATTGTGGAAAACTGTATTTACTCATTGTAAGTTTGTTATAGGAAATCAAACTTTCCATCACCCTTGTAATATTTAACCCACTGAACATGACTTCAGCACTCTTGTTTTATTTAAAGCAGTCCAAGAGTGGTGGAGTTTCTTGGCATTAAGAAAAAGTATCTGGAGGTTGTTTCCTCTTGTATAACAAATGCTGATTATAACAAATTCTGATTATAACAGGCTCCTATTAAAAACACAAGGCCAGGGCCGGGGATTTAGCTCAGTGGTTCCACTGCCTGCCTCCCAAGTGCAAGGTCCTGAGTTCAATCTCCAGTACCACAAAACAACAACAACAACAAAAAACACTATGCCATGTTCAAACTTTCTCTTCCACGTGCTGGACTTTGCTGTTACATAAACTAATACATTGCTCTTCCTCTCTTAGGGCCCACTGAGAAGTGTCAAGAAAGGCAAAGGCTAGGCGGGTTGGATCCTGGTGTTCTGAAGACCCTCCCCTCTTCTGGGGCCTGTGGCTGCCGCTAGCATTTCAGAGACCCTTGGACACTGACTCTGAGCTAACACAATTTCTAGAGCTCCAGTTTGGCCCTGCAATTAGCTGGTTCCAGCGGGAGTATCAGTGGAAACCTCACCCTGAGTCTACGTCCTGGAAGCCCTACCCCTACCCTGCAGTCATTTCCATAGTTCCTGAAGGTGAAGTTGGAATCTCCACCACCAGCAGCACCGATCCTTGGCCTACGTGGACCCAGAGTTTTGTTTTTTTTTTTCCAAAGAAAACACTTAGAGTGGGTTCCTGGATTCTCCTTCCCTGTTCAAACAAAATAAAGGCTACAGTACATCCACTAACAACTTGAAATATACAGAATTAGAGATCACTACTGTCACTAGGTTGGGTCTGAAATAAAGAATTTAACCCACCCTTTTAAAATAAGTTTGCAGGGCTGGGGATTTAGCTTAGTGGTTACGCCACCTGCCTCGCAGGTGCAAGGTCCCGAGTTTGATCCCCAGTACCAAAAAAAAAAAAAGAAGAAGGTTTCTTAGAGGGAGAGACAGGATTCACTCTGGCACTCAGAGGAAGAACACATGACAAGCTGGAGCGGGTGTCTTCAACACAGGTCTAGGGTGTGCGGCTCACTGTCTGGCAGGTTGCGATGCAAGCCATCTACATGTGTTCCAAGTTGACATGTGCTGCGCGCCATTGCTGCTGCTTCCTGAGGATGGAGGAAGCGCAATTTACCGGGGAAAGAAGAGATCCAGAGCCCTAATTTACAAGTTATTGTAAAAGGACCTTTTGGATTTTTCTTTTTTTGAGTGAGCTTCCCGGAAGGGAAGAGCTGCAATTTTTCTTAAAACTACAACTTTAAAATCTCATTTTCCTTATCTCCTTTTCACCTACTCCTGTGTGTGTGTGTGTGTGTGTGTGTGTGTGTTTGTGTTGGTTTGTTTCTTTGTTTGTTTGACACAGGGTCTTACTGTGCAGTCCAGGCTGGCCTTGAACTCATTATGATTCACTATGTACCCCAGGCTGGCCTCCAGCTCACAGTGATCTTCCTGCCTCAGCCTACCCAGTGCTGGGATTACAAGCATGCACCACCACACCTGGCTTCCTTTTGCCTACTTTTTATTTCTTCTCTCCTGCCTCACTAACCTGTACCAACTAGTTCTCCAGTGTAGCCATTACCAAAGGACACTTATATGGATGCCCTTTGCTCCTCGTTGCATTCCTTCCCACACCTAGGTGCCATGACGGAGTGGGTTGGCTGGGTTCACTGACATGACAGAATCCAGTCACAGCTGATGCCAGTGTTGGGCAACACTACTTGGTGATTTCATGCTGACGGAATGGAAAAGTTCACTATAAACAACCAGAATGATGCACACCTAAAACAAACCAAAAGAAGTACAATGTCATCACTGACTTCTGACTTGAGTTTTTATCTCTAACCTATATAGAAATTGTGCTGAGAATTCTTTCCGGAAGTGGCTGAGCTGGAGCAGTATCTCAGCAAGCAAGAGCCTTTTCACAGAGGCTCCCACTGCACCCTAAATGACCACCTGCTCAAGATCAGAAAGGCAAAACCCTCTCCTTTCTCCTAGCTTTCTTTCCTGGCTTCACTTGTTCATTTCCTGTAATCCCTTTCCTTCCCTACTGCAGGACCCTGCCTCTACCTACCTTGGACTCTGGTGCGAGCTATCAGCTGTTTGAATCCATCTGTTCTCACTCCAGATGAGGAATGGTGGGGTTCGAAGGCCACTGGTTGGTAGAACATCTGCAAGAAAGGCAGACTGTTCTTACTACCATTGTCCACCTCCTGGTGACATGGCCTGTGCTTTACTATTCAGAAAGCATTGTTGTCAGTGGTCAGGAATCCTATGGCCCTTTTGCAACTCGGGCCTTTGTATGTTCCATGCTTCAGGAAGACAGTAGTGGTGCTTATCCTACAGCAGTTGTCACATCTGTCTCAGAGAGGTGTCCGTGATTTCCCTCCTCACTCTGAAACGGTATTCCAAATTTCATCACATCTTCAGCCTCATCAGTTTTCATTTCTTTATGCCATAAATCTGCAAGCTTGGCAGTCCTACTGAGGCTGTATTCTGGGAGTTTGAGAAGAATAATCTTTTCTAAGATTTAGCTGGATACCACCTGTTAGGTAAAAAGAAAAGAAAAGAAAAGCCAGACAGTGCCCAGCTTGGAACCCACACATGCCTGGATCTACTTGAGCAATTGCTTCTGCTGACCCTAAGCTGGATATGAAGTGAGTCACTAGTTCTTATGACATCCCCCTAATATAAAACTATCTCCCCAAGCAACTGGAAGTTTTTTGAAAAGCTGGAAGATAAGGCAATATGGCCCATGTACAGAGTCCCTGAGAATCTCTTAAAAATCCAAGCTCCCTCAGCAACCCCAGCAGACAGTTATCATACTTTTCCTATCCCACTCCACACCCCTCCTTAACCGCCCTACAGTCTCCCCTGCCAGGCTGGCTCAGCTCTCCTCTGTTTTGTATGTCAAAATCCTGCCAGCCTGAATATACCACTCAGCAAAAGAGAAGCCAGCCAAAGAGTGTTTTGCACAAGAAAAGCCATCTTAGGCTGAAGAGCTAAACTAATATTGTTCTTCAAGTGTGCCCTGGCAGGCCTCAGTGTGTCCCACCACTTCAATTACAAAAGTTGGGGAAAAATGAAATCTATCCATGCTAAATCTTGTCTATTTTAAAAAATAAAATTTCTATTCCTTTTCCTTTTTTTTGGTACCCGGGATGGAACTCAGGACCTTGCACTTCCAAGGCAGGTGTGGCACCACTGAGCTAAATCCCCGGCCCTCTATTCCTTTTTCTAACCCTGCCCTGGCTAAGGTTGGCACGCCATCACACACACTCTCACCAACATTTTGCACTGCAAACTTTGTTTGTAGTACTGGGCATGGAAGCCAGGGAGGCTCTGCCCCTGAGACATATCCCAATCCCTTTTTAATTTTTGAAACAGGGCTGCCCAGGCTGACCTCAAACTTGAGATCATCCTTCCTCAGCCTCCCAAATACCAGAATTACAGGAATGCACGACTGTGTCCAGCCTGAACTCCAAACTTTTGTTTTTATTAAACTATTCTCAGGCCGGGGATTTAGCTCAGTGGTTCCGCCTGCCTCACAAGCGCAAGGTCCCAAGTTCAATCCCTGGTACGAAAAAAAAAAGAAAAGAAACTATTCTCTAACCCAGCCATACCCAATAGAACTTTCTGCAGCGATGAAAATGTTCTCTATGTGCCCCATCCAATATGGTAGCCATGTGGCTGTTGAGCACTTGGAATGTGACTAAGGTAACTAAGGAGCTAAATTTCTAAGATTTTTTAATTCATTTTGTGGTGCAGGGAATCAAACCCATGGCCTCATTCCTTCTAGGCAGTGCTCTACCACTGAGCTACACAGTAGTTCCTCAAATTTCTAATTTTATTGAATTGTAATTAAGTTTAATTTTTTTTTCAGTACTAAGGAATGAACCCAGGGATAGTCTACCACTGAGCTACAACTCTAGCCCTTTTAAAAACTTTTTTTTTTTAAAATTTTGAGACAGGTCTTGCTAAATTGTTCAGGCAGGACTTGAACTTGGGATCCTCATACTACAGCCTCCCACGTGTGTAAGAAACCACATTTTTGTTTGTTTGTTGAGGGTCTCACTATGTAATTCAGGCTGGCCTTGAACTCATTATGTAGCCCAGGCTAGCCTCAAATTTACAGCAGTCCTCCTGCCTCAGCCTCCTAAGTGCTGGGATTATAGGCGTGTGCTACCACACCAGGCTTCTTCTTTTATTTTTGTACACAATTATTTAATTTAAATGCCACATGAAGCTAGTGTCTACTGTACTGATCAGCTAAACTCTAGAATTCTTCCAGTGACAATGAAAGACATTATATGAAACAGTAAAAGAAAAGTTAAAATTAAACTGACTATAATATAGTGTCCAGGGTGTTCATTATTTCATAGTTTATTGTCTCACTAGATTTTGTTTGTTTCTTTCTTTCTTTGTTTCTTTGTTTTGTGGCAGTTCTAGGAATTGAACCCAGGGCCCTCACATTAAACTACATTTTCAGTATTTTTCTTTTCTTTTGAGGCAGGACCTTGCTAAATTGCTAAATTACTCAGTCTGTATAGGGGACAGGGGAAGGGGACATTACCAGAACCTCTGCAGTGAGTCCTGGGCGAATTACAGGAAAGGTAGACAAATGAGACTGAGAAGAAGCTGAGCTTTGGGTCTGATCAGTGCTGCTCTGGGAAGCAAACACCCAAGCCCCCAGCTTACCACACCTTTATTCAGTACCTCGGGAGAAACAAATGTAACAAATGACTTGCAGAGAGTTCAATAGTTCACATTGGGATAAACAAGGTGTAAGGAAGGCTTGCAGAGAGGTCAAGAAAACCCCCGCAAACAAGATGTTAATCAGTCCAAGAACAATGAGGAATTGAGCAGATGTTTGTTCTCCCAGGATGTTTCTTGTCCTGGAGAATCACAGCATCACTGGATCACTGAAGTCTCAGTTGTGACCAGAGGCCAAACTGGAGTTATTCTGTAGTTTGGCTGTAGGCAAGAGAACTAGGCTAACCAAATGATTTTTCCCTAGAATTATGTAGCATTGCTCCCAACAAGTCTGGGGCTGAATTTATAATCTTGCACCCTCAACTTTCCAGAGTGCTGGGATTATGGACATGTGTCACCATGCCTAGCTCACTACGAAATACTTTTCTCTGGTCTAAGGACTTGAAAAATCAGTTTAGTTTAGTTTTCAATTTAAAGGACTATGGAGCTTTCAGAGCCCACCTTTAACACATGTACTTTTGTGAGGTTTTTGTATTTTTGGTACCAGGGATCGAACTTGGGACCTTGTGCTTGCGAGGCAGGTGGCGGAACCACTGAGCTAAATCCCCGGCCCCTTCTTTGTGAGGGTTTTGCTTTTTACATGGAGTTAGGGCTAGAATCCAGGGCTCTGCACATGCTAAGCACACACTTTACCACTGAGCCACCCCTGGTCCCCATGTGTACCTTTGGAGACTGAAACCAACCACCCTTAGTTCCACTTATTTCTTTTCTATCCTATTGTCTTTTTTATTAAAGTGCATAGTTCAGTGATTTTTGATGAATTTATATTACACAACAATCACTACAACTTAATTTAAAAATATATCCATCACCCCCAAGAGTATGTGCTCATTTCCAGTCTCTTGCTATTCCCAGTCAACCACTAATCTACTTTCCATCTCTGTAGATTTCCTTTTTCTGGACATTTTATATAAATAGAATCATACAACAGGACTTTTGTGTCTGGCTTCTTTCATTGAGCATAAGGTTTTTGAGGTTCATCTATAGGATCCATCAGTACTTCATTCCTTTTTATTGCCAAATAATATTCTATAATATGGATATACTACATTTTGTTTATCCATTCACCAACCGATAACCATTTGGCTTGTTTGTACATTTGTGCTATTATGAATAACACTCCTATGAACATTCTCATATCAATCCTTCTGTAGACATATGTTTTCATTTCTCTTGAGCAAATACCTAGAAATGAAATTGCAGGGTCACATGGTAAATTTATGTTAAGAAGCTGACAAGGGCTGGGGATTTAGCTCAGTGATTCCGCCACCTGCCTTGCAAGCGCATGGACCTGAGTTCGATTCCCGGTACCAAAAAAAAAAAAAAGCTGACAAACTGCTTTCTAAAGTGCACCATTTCACATTCCCACAAGTGATGTATATATGAAAGCTCTAGTTTCAGGACTAGGTGTGCAGCTCAGAAGTGCAGCTCTGCATAGCATGCACAAGGCCCTGAGTTCAATCCTCAGCATTGGAAGGGGGGGGTCCTATTTCTGAAAGCTCTAGTACCTCCACATTCTCAACATTTGCTTGTTATTGCCTGTTTCATTGAGTACAGCCATTTTAGGGGGTGCGACATGGTATCTCATTGTGGCTGATTTCATTTTTCTAATGACTAATGACATCTTTTCATGTACTTATGGGCCATTTGCATCTCTCCTTTGGGGAAATGCCTATTCAATTCTTTTGCCCATTTTTAAATTGGTCTATTGCCTTAAAATTGCTGAATTGTAAGACTTCTTTATATGCTGTGGATATATATCTTTTTATCAGATATGTGATTTATAAATATTTTTTCAAGCCAGGTATGCTGTAATCCCAGCACTCAGGAGGCTGAGGCAGGAGGACTACTGTGAGCTGGAGGTCACCCTGGGTTACGCAGTGAGTTCAAGGCCAGCTTGGACTACATAACAAGACCCTGCCTCAAAATATCAAAAAATAAATCAAAACTAAATATTTTCTCCCAATCTGTCTTTTCATTGATGGTGGTTTTTTGCTTGTTTGTCTTTGTTTCTTTTTGGAGGGAGGGGGTTCAAACAGGGTCTCACTATGTAGCTAGGCTGGTCTTGAACTCTCAGTGATACTCCTGCCTCACCCTCACAGCATGGGGATTACAGGTGTGCACCACCATGCCTGGTTGATGGTGGGTTTTTGGGTTTGGTTTTGTTTTTTGGGGGATTTTTGTGTGTGTGTACCAGGGATCGAACTTGGGACCTTGCGCTTGCCAGGCAGGCGGTGGAACCACTGAGCTAAATCCCCAGCTGGTTTGTTTTTTTGAAACAGGATCTCACTATGTAGTTTAGGCTCCCCTTGAGCTCACTATGTAGTCCAGGCTGGCCACAAACTCGGGATGATCCTCCTGCCTCCTGAGTGCTGGGATCACAAGCATTCGACACTATGCCTGGCTGATTTTTTTTTTTTTGGTACCGGGGATCGAACTCGGGTCTTTGCGCTTGCGCAGCAGGCGACGAAACCACTGAGCTAAATCCCCGGCCCTGATGGTTTTTTTTTAACTGAAAAGTTTTTAGTCTTTATGAAGTCCAGTTTATCTTTTTTCTTCTATTACTTGTGTTGTGATGTCATTCTTAAGAACTCTTTGTCTAATCCAAAGTCATGAACATATATTCCTATGTTTTCTTCTCAGAGTTTTATATTCTAGCTCTTACCTTGGTGTTTAACTCATTTTGAATTAATTTTTGCTTATGGTATAAGGGTTTAAATTCATATTTTTTGCCTGTGGATATCCAATTGTTCCAGAATCATGTGTTAAAAA